ACATATTCTTAAACGACGTTCACTTTCCTAAAAATTCACTAAAAGCGGTAAATACTCCTAAAATTGCACTATAGGTTAGAACATGTAAGAAAATTAGATTTTAGCCATTTATAATAATTTAAGCGACGGTGCTAGAACCACGGGATCCGGGGGTGCCTAACACCTTCCCTCGGGTCAACAGAATTCCTTATTCAGAATTTCTGGTTCGCAGACTCCAATTGGGAAGTTGAAATTTCCTCGATTTGGGATTCAAATTAAAATCGGTGACTTGGGACACCCAAAAGCCAATCCTATCCCAAGTGGCGACTCTAAAAATAAATAAATAATCCCATTTCGAATAATGTCACTTTAAATGGTAAAACTCCCTTATACATTATCCTTCGGGGTAGGTGTGTAAAAAAGGAGGTGTGACACTGGGCATTGGAACTAGTTGTTTGGACATCCCACTATCATGTAAACTTGTTGCATCATCTTCAGGATCCCCAGCAGCAGCAAGAATCTGGAAAGTATTAGAGCTGGAACCAACATTGAAGTCAATTCGTCGAACACTTTTGGTCTGATGTTTTGGTGAAACCTTCTGCTTTGTGGGAGATTTTCTAGCTGTTACCAAGTTCCAGTCTCCTTTCTTTTTATTCATATCATCTTCCTTCCCGTCCACTATCTCATTCCCAGCTTCATTTTCCACAAATAAGCTGTTATTCCCCATTTTTTCTTTTCCCAGAAATCTGGGCAATTACTTCTCTATCTGAGGTTTGTTCTGCAATTTTTTGGTAAGCATCTGCAGTTGATTGTTGAGAATCCTGAATACCAACCTTATCCACCGCAGAAGTAGTTACCCTATCCTCTCCTGTATTAATGACATCTCCATCTACCTTATCCATTGCTCCTTTCTTACCTTGTACATTAGCAGAAGGTTGAGTTTGTTGTGCCAAAGTTATCTTCTCACTTCCAGCTAAACTACTTGGAAATTTAGCCTCTATATTGACAGCCTTAGTACCCTGAGAAGCTCCTTTGTTAACAACCACATTACCTTCTCGTACCTGTCCACCAGTATCTCGAGCAGCAGCTGCAATATCCTTACCACTTTATATAGCTGCTTCATCATGATCACCTGCCCCTTTTGGTCTTGTACCTGATGACATTATAGCTGCAGCAGTAGCAAGCTTATCATAAGCCTGTACTATTTGATTAACAACATTGGATATCCTTGCTAATGCTACCCTAGCAGGCATATCTCGAGAAGGTGGATTTGGACCCTTATCGATTTTTGAAACACCACCAGCATCAACCCTTTCACGACCTAAAGCAGCTTCCAGTTGTTCCTTACCCTGCTAAACATCATCAGGTTGTTTCATACCCAATTGTATCAATTCTTCTGAATGTGCAGCCTCAAGTTGCCCAGCTCTTTTAGCATTCAAGAAATCCCTAGCATCCCCTTGAAGTTGTTCAACTATATTACCTTCACGACTGGGCAGATTACTCCCCTCTAACGTATCATCAGCAATAACCTCCTCTTCAACTTGTCTCTTCATTACTCGACATGATTTTTCCTTGTGCCCTTGATGCTTGTAATACGTGCAATAACTTGGGAGATTGTTATATACTACTTCATGATCATGCACGATGGATTTTCCTGTAACTTTGTCCGTCATAACAATTTTAACTTTTTTAGGATGTTTGTCCATAAGATCAAGTATGACCTTAACTCTCACAGCACTAGGTCGAGTTCTCTTTTGTGTTGCTTTATCCACAGCAATTGCTTTACCCACAGCAGATGCAATAGATAAAAGCGATCTTTTCGCAAAGAAATTTGGAGGCAAACCTGGGAGTGTTATCCACACGACTGCCATGGACGTTTCTTCCTTTGGATTGAAACCTAGAGTCCATGGAAACGTTCTAAAGAAGAACTCCTCTCTTTTATCCTTCATATATCCAGTCAACCTTGACAAAAATTTAACAAAATCATCGTATACGTCGAATCTAACCAGCAGATGGCGATATTCCAGTTGTACTATATTACATCGACCTTGAATATCAAACTGTGCTGGAAAATTCTTTCTAATCGCTTGTAATTCTGGTTTGCCATATGAAAATTTCATCACGAATGCCTGATGCAATCCTTCCTCTCGTAAATTCATTAACCTCATCCATGGTAAATTCGATCGTTGGATCCCCATGCACGACTGCTACAGGAACTAGTTCTATTTTTGGCGCGGTAGATTGTTTTTGCTGAAGCTGTGATGCATACGACTATTTTGGCTTGGGATTTGTTAGAGATTCTGTAGTGTTTTGGTTTGTCTCTCCCACAGCCAAAGGCTGGGGAGAGATCGCAGCAGCCATGGCTGCCAAGAACTCAAGAAATCGCCTAGAGAGAGAAAGTAGAGAGAAGGGTTTCTAGAGAGCGTTTTTTTAAGCAATCCACTAGGCAGTGCCTAGGGCTAGATTTTATATATATAAAAATAGTAAAACGTACATAGTGTTAGGTGGTCTTGCAAAATGTAGAAAATAAACTATGACTATTACATTGTACCTATTACCAATATTGAGCAAAGAGCTCAACTTTGGTATCACATATGAACTGATATAATCATTGAAAACAAAATCTAGCCCATGCAGCTTATTAACGTATGAATGTATCTTCAAACTTCGCATATTGCACATATAGTCTCTTAATCTTGTAGCCACTGTCATGATTTTTCTCATATAGCCTTCGTGTATTTGAATTTTTGCTTCTATCCAACTTTCTTGATAGTGTATATCTATGTAAGCCCTCATGATCCACCATTTATTGATCCTACTGTGTGTATCTTGATGTAGATAGCAGTAGCTTTCAAAACCTGATGCCAAATGAAATGTACGCCGCTTCGTAGTTAATTTGCATTTGCTGCCAGTTCTGGGGGGATTGCATTGATGGTTCTTGATGTACTTTATCTGTCTTTTACTCTGTTGCCTCTTGTTGCCATATTTAACCCATATTTGTTTCCTTTTTGTGCTCCATTCCACTGAAATATGCTGCAAGTCGAGCAAGTTCTGAAAGTAGCCATGCCCAAGTGTGTTGTTTGTGCATCCTATTCCTTGCATTATCTCATGTTGTCCTGTAGAGACCTCTACATTTACAATTAGATCCCAGATGTTATACCACAGTAGCACTGTAGTTATTTCCAAATAGACCACAACTTTGCTCCAAATGATGATCAACTGCCAATGCTTCCTTAGGTTCCTGATATCCTTTATCATGTTTGTGCATGCCTCTTTTCCTTCTTCAAGGGGTTGAGCACATAGTGCTAATACCACCCATAGAAGTCATAATAGGTGGCATGGCATGATCACACTAACTTTTCCTGCAAAAAAGAACACAAGGTTAGTGAAAAAATCCTTCAGAACCATCTTCACATGATTGAATTGATGATCCTGCTCTTGTGATAACTCCCTTGCTCTCCTCCTTGTCTCCTTCACTCCCTTTAATCTCCCTAATGTTGCTTCTACTGCCTGACTCCCTGTAGACTAAAGATCCATCCTCCAATTTCCTAACTCCCTTAACTGAACTTCTCTATGCCTTTTACTTCTCCACACTACTCGAATCATTTTCCCATATTGCCCACTTCTCTTAGACATTCTGGGCATCCTTACTTCTCTTTTCCTATTTGTAATCACTATTTTGTTTACATAACCTTCCAAGCTAGTGTGTATCTTCCCACCTCTTGAACATTGCCATTGAAAGTGCCCACTTCTCATAGACATTCTGGGCACTTTTCTCTTTTTTCCTATTTGCTTTTTGAAATTCCCAGCTGCTACTGCATAGATGCAGATTTCTCCTGTTGACCTGCAAATGTGATTCCTTTCCAACGTGCGCAAGACTTCCAATAAGATCTATGTGTAGCTTTTGGAGTGCTGCTTCCTTTGAGCATGAGATGGTGTCCTCCATCTGATTATTTCCAAGCAGTGCATTTGCTGCTATAGTCCAAAATACTCTGCCTGATAATGAATAACTGAACCTCAGAGAATTTGTCCTTGATACAATGTCCATGCCCGACCTTAACTTCATTCCTGTGGATTGAATGCATTGCATTAATACCACCACATGGAGTTTCATTAAGGTACAGGCCATAGACATGCCATAAGTACCTGCAAAAAAGAAAACTTTGTTAGTAGAAAAAGCTGTTACCTTGCTCTCCTCCCTTAGGACTTGAACATGCTAATGATGAGAGTAGCCTCCAGATCTCCTTTCTACTCCTTCTCATTTATTCCCCATTAGTTCCTTGCCACCTTTACTCTTATATGAGGACATTGATATTTATCTTCATTCACTATCCTTCTGCTCATACTGTCAAGATCCCAGAAATCTATAGCCTCCATATCTCCATCATCAAGGGCATAGTTTGCTAGGTGGTCTTCTAACTTGTTCCCTTCCCTAAAATTATGTGATATTCTGAAATTACACCCTTCCTTCAAATTCATGATCTCCTCCACCATCTCAGTAATACACCAAGGTGGCTTCCACAACCCATCTATTATGTTCTTCAGTAAAAGAGAATCTGTTTAAATCCAGATCAGAGTGTAATTCATTGCTTTACACATTCTTAAGGCCTCCACTATTGCTATTGCTTCAGCTTCATTATTCGATCCTTCATTAACTTCCCTTCCTAGTGCATATTTCAAATCACCTGCTTCATCTCTCAAACACACTCCTATTGCACTTCTTCCTGGATTCCCTCTAGATGCTCCATCAGTGTTTGCTTTGATCCACCCTTCAGCTGGAAACTCCCACATCACCTTATCATACATAAGCCTTGGAGTATAGTTCTCCATCATGATCAGAAGATCGGTCCATCTGTGAGATACTTGTAGCCCAGGTTTTCTTATTTGCACAAGATGTTGTAGAGTAGTTGACACTTAATAAATGACCCTGCTCACTGATACTGCTTCACCATATTTCAGACTATTCCTTCTCTTCCAAAGCTCCCACACTATGCACGAAGGTAATGCCTGCATAATTGGCTTTAATCTAGGAACCCTGATGCATTCCAGCATTTTGTAATGGCTTGGTGCAAAGTCAGCCCCTGCACTACAATTCCTGCTCTTAGTAGGAAGAATTTCCATACAATTTCAGCAGCCCTTGATGTGAAAAATAAGTGCACAAGAGATTCCTCCTTAGGTGCAGCACAACACCAGCATTTAGATGGCATAAAATAGCCTAACCTTCTCATGAAGTCATCAAGAGGTAATTTAGCCTTCCAAACTTTCATGAAAAATGAAATTTTGAAAGAAAGCCCCTTCACCCATATCTTCTTATATGCTATCCTAGGATTGTCCCTCCTTCTTAGATATTCCCATGCTGTCTTAATAGTAAAATGACCCCTTGTTTCAAGCATCCAAAAAGGAGTGTCTAGGACATTTTCCATAGCAGGAGGCCTGATCTTTTCAAGAATGTGTTGTGCCAAATCCTCAGGTAAAAGCTGTATCAACCTATCGGCATTCCAGACTTCATTATCCACCAACTCATTCACATTGTGTATATCATCATCTATGCCAAAGTCTGGTGGTACTAGAAAGTAGAGTGCTCCTAGACCTGTCCAATTATCATACCAACATAATGAAGATCCCATTCTTAACTTCTAAATGATCTGGTGCTCTATTAAATCCCTACATTCAAGCATTTTCCTCCACACGTGTGATCCTTCCCTCCATGGAACAATTACTGCATTCAATTTCTTGCAGTATTTCTGACTCATGAATGAACTCCATAAACTTGGCTTAGTCCTGAAATTCCACCACAGCTTGCAAAAAAGTTCCTTAGACACATCATGCAATGATCTGAACCCTATTCCTCCTTCCTTACATGGCATACATAATGTGGTCCATGATGCCCAATGCCTACTATTTTCTCCCACAGCACTGCTCCAAAAGAACTGAGCAAAAATTTTATGTAATCTGTTTATGACATAATTAGGGGGATTTACAGCTGATAGCAAGTTTACTGGCATGCTCTGCAGGACACTAGAAACCAGCACAGCTCTGCCCCCTATAGATAATAGCTTCCCTTTCCATGCTTGTAGCTTGTCTAAAATCTTGGTAACCGTAGGATAATAGTACTCCAATTTTCTCCTTGCATAAAAGATGGGACTCCCCAGATATGTAAAAGGAAAATCCTGCCTTCCTATACCTGTTACCCCCTCAACTTTTTTGACCACCTCCAAGTCTGTTAAATGATGCATATACACCGCCGATTTACTCTTGTTTATCAGCTGTCCAGAAGCAGCCTCATATAAATGCAGAATTTCCATCACCAGTCTCAATGATGTAGCATCTGATGAACAAAAAATGATGGTATCATCTGCATAAGCTAGATGATTAATTTCTGGACTCAATTTGGGAAGTCGAAAACCACAGAAATATAAATTTGAGTGCAGAGAATTCTGACCCCTTGATAGAGCTTCAGCAGCTAGAATAAACAAGGTTGGAGATAAAGGATCTCCCTATTTGACACCCCTTGATGATTTGAAAAAACCATGAGACTGACCATTTACCAACACAGAATACCAGTTATTTCCCACCAAATCAATCCCAAATGAATCTTTCACAGAAGCCTAATTTCCTTAGCATCTTGGTGAGAAACAGCCATGATAGCCTGTCATAGGCCTTTGTCATATCCAGTTTAATCACAACATTAGGCCCAGCCTTTGTTCTTAGCCTAATATCAGTTATGATTTCCTGAGTTAATAGCACATTCTCCACTATACTTCTTCCCTTTACAAAACTTGCTTGCTCTTCAGAAATTATACTAGGCAGAAGCTCCACCAACCTTTCATGAATAACTCTTGAAAAAATCTTGTTAATGAAGTTACTGAGACTAATTGGCCTAAGATCTGAAAATGTAGTAACCTCTTTCTTTTTTGGCAAGAGTACTAGATTCGTGTGTGTAACACACTTTGGCAGCTGTTGACCATTGAAAAAGGCTAACACCATTGCATAGATGTCCTCTCCAACAATACCCCAGCATGTGTGATAGAATGCCCCAGTATATCCATCTGGTCTACTTGCTGAGTCTCCATTTAAACCATAAACTGCATTTTTCACTTCTTCTCTTGTAGGAATTGCTACCAGATTCTCATTTTGTCCATTTTCTAGTATTCTAGGTACATGCTCCATGATGTGGAAATTTGAGGGAACTACAGATTCTGTGAACTGCTCGTTATAGAAATTAACTGCTTCTTCTGCAATTTTTTCATCCTCTTCAATCCAGATGCCCCTACTATCTTTGATCCTCTTTAGCTGCAACATTTTTCTTCTTTCTCTGACTTGAGCATGGAAGAATTTGGTATTTCTATCACCATCTTTGAACCATGTCATACCTGCCTTTTGCTTCCAAAACTCCTCCTCTAGTGCCAGATATCTAATCATTTCTGCCTGCACTTTCTGCAACCTCTCTCTATTCATCTGAGTAGGATATGCTTCAAATTGCCTTTCATGTACTAGAACCACCTCTTCTAGGCTTGCAATCTTTTGAAAAATATCTCCATATGTTGTGTTGCTCCATGTAGATAGTACCCTTTTCAGCTTCTTTAGTTTATGATTGAACAACACAAAGGGATTTGCACTAAAATCTGCTTTCCAGTTCTCCTTCACCACTGACTTAAAAGAGTCATGTTTGGTCCAGAAATTCAGAAATCTGAATGGTTTCTTGATTGGAGAAGTTTCAATATCACACTTCAACAACATGGGACAATGATCTGAACCAATCTTGTACAAATGAGTACTGGGAAAGTTTGTTGCAATTCCATATTCCTTAAGCACCTATCTAATCTTTTAAATATGCAATCATCTTCTGATCTTCCATTCCACCAGGTGAATATACTTCCTTTGAACCCCATATCTGACAAATTAGAAGTGTTGATACAGTGTCTAAAATCATCTACCTCATTCAAAGACACTAGCAGTCCACCAAACTTCTCCTCTTCATCCCATATGACATTAAAATCACCTCCCACTAGCCATGGGGAAGTCATATCAGAGGCCATTGCATACAAAGAGTCCCAAAGTTCTATCTCTCTATAGTGTCACATTTGGCATAAACTATTGTAAGCATCAGTTCTACATGAGTTTCAGTGTGAAAAGGTTTCAATGTCAACTGCTGCACCATGTTGTACAAGATGGTCACCTCAAACACTTTATCTATAAATGCCCATATTTTGTTTGATACATTCACTACTACTCGAGTCAGCCCTATTCTACTTCTGTACCTTTCCATCTTGTTGGACTGTTGCATGGGTTCCAAGACTCCTATGAACTCAAAATGGTGTTGTCTATGCATAAGGATCAATCTCTCAAAAGCCTGCATAGTATTTACTGACCTGACATTCCTAATTATTGCATCCATCACTGATTAAGAAATTTGGATAAAGTTCTTCTTGTTTGAACTCCACCTACTGGAACAGTTGAAGTGTCTTTTATTTGCTTCTTTCTACCTTTTACTGCATATTTAACCTGTTTAGTTTGCCTGGGAGACAAATCTCCTTGTTTGGCAACATTGAAAAAGTTTTGTGCTGTAGATTCTTCATCCATATCCTTGCCTACATGTTCTTTTTGGGTTTAGTTTTTTTTTCTTTTTTTTTTCTTTTTTTTCTTTTTTTTTATTCTATTTTTAACGACCCGGCATGTCGTTTCGAGAATTGTAGCCCCATTTCCCTATTTCTGCTTCTTTTTGTGTTCTTCAGCTATATTATAATGTGTCGGGTCAGTTGGTTCGGGTCTGGAGTGGTTTCGGGGAGGATTTGACACACTTAGTCTCTTTATGAGAATCTTAAGTTAGAAACATCAATCGGATGTTTACTTATGTGTAAATGATTTTGGAGTTGAATTCCGATGGTTTTGTTAGCTCCGTTAGATGATTTTGGACTTAGGAGCACGTCTGGAATGTGTGTTGGAGGTCCGTAGTAGAATTAGGCTTGAATTGGTGAAAGTTTGAAATTTTGCGATTTTGGTCGGCTGTGGAAAATTTGATATCGGGTTTGGAATGGATTTTTGGAAGTTGGAGTAGGTTCGTGGTGTCTTTTGTGACGTGTGTGTAAAATTTGTGGTCATTCGGATGTGATTTGAGAGGCTTCAGCATCGTTTGTGGAATTTAGAAGTTTAGAAGTTCTTAGGCTTGAATCCGAGGATAATTTGGTGTTTTGATGTTGTTATGAGTGATTCGAAGGCTCGACTAAGTTCATATGTTGATATATGACTTGTTGGTATGTTTGGTTGAGGTCCTGAGGGCCTCGGGCTGATTTCGGATGGTTAACAGAGAGTTTGGAATTGAAAAAATGCAGTTGAAATTGCTGCTGCTAGTGGTGTTTCCGCACCCGCACAGTGAGAACCGCACGTGCGAGGTCGCAGAAGCGGCTAAGGTGCCGCAAAAGCGGCCACCAGGGACTTGAGCAGGAGCGCAGGTGCGAATATCCTACACCAGCGAGAGGCGCAGATGCGGGCAGGGATGCGCAAGTGCGAGAGGGGATACGCAGGTTCGAGGCTGTTTCCGCAACTGCGACGATCGCAGATGCGATCGTGAGGCGCAGATGTGATTGATAATAGGTGAATTTGACTATAATCACGCACCAAATAATCACCTTCTTGTGAACTTTTAATGTGGAAAATGACAACAAAATGCTCTTATTAGTGCTTTACATGATTTGCAGGTGATATAGGTGTAAGGAAGGCTAAGGAGCGGTTTTGGAGTCAACTATTGATGAAAAGAGGCTAATTGTTGAATTTCCCAAGTAACCCATTCAAAACAGGCCAAAATGCCCGGGTACAAGTTCCACCGCGGTTCTACCGCGACTGCGGTGAAACCGCGGTGGAAGGCAGTCTCTGAAGGTTGAAGATTCCGCGAAGGCGTTTGATCGCGGTTCTACCGCGACCGCGGTAGAACCGCGGTGGGCACAGTAAACTTCGGGGACTTAAGTGTAAAACACGAGATTTTTAGACCTAAACCCTATTTAAAACGCTAGACTTCGCCCAAAAGAGGCATGTATTGATTTTTTAGGTTTCTTAGCAAGGAAAAACATTGTGAGAAAATACTCTAAACATCTTTCTCCTTTTCTTTTGATTTTATGATGAATTCAAGCTTAGTTTATTTTCCCATAGCCATGAGTAGCTAAATTCCTTGTCTAAGGCTTTGATGGAACCTATTGGGTGATGAACTTCTTGTTTATGTGAATACAAATTGCTAGTTTAATCTTTATTTGTTCAACTTCGTGTTCGTTGTAGTTAATTGACAGGATCTTCAATTAGCTGTGCCTATTTAGTGTGCATAACTTGGAAAAGAGTGCATATTTAGGGTATTGTTGAACAACACCACTCCTAGATTATTAGAGGAATCTATAATTGCGGGTTTAAAGGCGGGATTAGGAATAACGAAGCCTTGGGTGCAATTTCAATTGAATTGTGCGAAATTAAGCAAGCTAGTGTATCTCGGGAGAGTGCAATAGTAGATTACTGTGAGTACTCGGGAGAGATTTGCGGTAAGATTAGCGTTCATGATTGATAGAGATGTGGGGGTAAATTTGTATGAGCATAAACAGAAGGGATTCCATCAATAGGGGAAATCATTGCCTTAGCTTTTTCTCAAAATTGTTTACAACCCTTCTAATTTAGTTATAGCCTTTTTATTTACTTGCAAGTTATTTATTAAAGAACAATCAACTGAGAATTTGAATATTTGGGAAGTTGGTTCTGAAGACTTGGTGGGTCTGAAGGTAGCAGTTGATAAGTTAACTCTCTGTGGGATTCGACTCTGGACTTGTAAACCGGATTATATTTGCAGCGACCGCATTGTCCTTTTATACGGCATAGTTGGGCGTGATCAGCGATCCTAGGGATTTAAGTGATTTTCTGCAAATGCAGAGGTTTTTGCGCAGAAGCGGCACCGCAGGTGCGTATTTTGGGCCGCAGGTGTGAAAAGCCTGGGCAGAAGGTATAAATACAAGACTTCACGAAATTTTGCTCATTTCCACCTTTTTCAACTCGGACTTTTGAGCTTTTGGAGTGATTTTTGAAGGGGATTCAAGGATATTCACTGAGTTAAGTTGATTGAGCACTATTATCATTAACTATGGTCTTTTCCCGTTAATTTCCCACCTATTTAGTTCAATTTTTTTAAGTGAAATAAGGGGTTGGGGCTTGAGATTTTGGAGGGAATAATTTGGGGTTTTGAGGGATCAAATAATGTCGGATTTTGATGAAATTTGTATGGGTAGACTCGTGAGTGAATGGGCTTTCTAATTTTGTCACTTTATCAGATTTCGAGACGTAGGCCCCGGGGTTGAGTTTGAGTCGATTTCGGGAATTTAGCCCAATTTAGTCGTTTTCTTGTGGAATTGGTTCCTTTGGCATATATTGATTGTGTTGTATTACTCTTAGCTAGATTCGGGAAGTTTAATTTCGATTCAAGAGGCAAAGGCATCGCGGAGTTGGATTTTGCTCGGATTAAGGTAAGTAACGGTTATAAATCTAGTCCTAAGGGTATGAAACCCCGGATTTTTGTGTCGTATGACTATTTTGGAGGTGATGCACATGCTAGGTAACGGGCATGTGGGCGTGTACCGAAGGGACTGTGACTTGGTCCATCCCGTGAGATTGTGGAATCGCATAGCCTATTGTTTATTACATGTTCCCTCTGTCTTCATGGAAATTGACTGTACTTCATGTTAGAAATCATGTTTAGGATTTATGTTTTTGTTGTTGAGACCTGTGAGGTCGTGTACTTGCTGAATTAGTTGCTAATTGTTGCTTTGTACTCACTCATAGCTTTTCAAGCTTATTATACCTTCGTCTCTTACTTTTTATTGTTGATACATGATATTGCCTCTATTTGGGTTGTTGTATATGGTTCTGAGAACCCGGGGGACTAGTGAGGTTGGTGAATGAGTTAGTTTGAGGACCAAATTGTGAGGTTGTTGATATTGTAGCACGTAAGTTGTCTGTGCAGCACATGAGTTGTCCGTGTAGATCCTGATATGATATTATAGCACGTGAGTTGTGCGTGTGGGTCTCATTTTGATATTATAGCACATGCGTAATCCGTACAGCACGTGAGTTATCCATTCGGATTATAGTGTTTGGGCTGAATGAGCCCCTCCTTAGTCTATATACCCCAATGAGCGAAGGTACCTATGAAGTATGATTATTGAGGGCTGAGAGCCGAGTGATTGGGCTGTTGAGATGAGCAGAGTGACTGTTGCCTTTAGAGGTTATACTTGCTTTCAGTTAATTATTGCACTTAGTTGTTATTTGTCCTTGTTGTAAAATTTCATGAAAACTTGATATCTGGTTTACTTGAGCACGAACTAATTTGATCTAAACTGATGAAATTGAAAACATGATTGTTCTTACTTGAATGATATTGAGATAACTGTATTTGCATAGCTCGTCACTACTTCTCAGTTCTTAATTTATTTCTATTACTTAATGAGTCGGAAGTACTCGCGTTACTCCCTAAACCTTGTGTGAGGATCCAGGTGAGACAGTCGCAGAGGTCATTGAGCTCGTGCGTGGTTGACTGCTCGGAGACCTACGAGGTAGCTGCTAGCATCCGCAGCCCTTGTCTCTCCTTCCATTGTTGTCTTTTCTTTCTGTTTAGTATTGGTGGACTATCATAAACTCCGAATTTTGGATTTGGTTTTAGATGCTCATGACTTAGTGACACCCTAATGTCGGGCTATCTTTTTCGCATTATATTATGAGTTTAACTCGTCTTATAAAATCTCTGTTATGAAAAGGTTTTGAACTATATTTCTATGAATTATCAATGTATTTTGGAAATGTCGGCTTGCCTAGTACCACGATAGGCGCCATCACGACGAGTTAGGTATTTGGGTCGTGACAAGTTTGTATCAGAGCCTAGGTTACATAGGTCTCACGAGTCATAAGTAGGTTTAGTAAAGTCTTCTGGGTCTGTACGGAGAAGTCTGTACTAATCTTCGAGAGGCTGCATAACCCTTAGGAAAAATTCACATTCTTGAATTCTTATCGTGCGAAT